CTTAGCATAATCTGCTCTAATGCCATCCATTTCCCTGCAAATTCCATGATTTTGTCATTTTTTAGTGCTTCGTAATACTCCATTGTGTATAAATTCCACTTTTTTTTTTTTTTATCCATTCGTCTATTGAAGGGCATCTAGGTTGGTTCCACAGTCTAGCTATTGTGAATTGTACTGCTATGATCATTGAATGTGGCAGTATCCCTATAGTATGCTCTTTTAAGACCCTCAGGGAATAGTCCGAGAAGGGCGATAGCTGGGTCAAATGGTGGATCACTATTTTGCTGAGGCTGGCCTTGAACTTGTGATCGGTCTTTCAGCCTCCCAAGTAAAAAGGCGAATATAAGTGTGTGCCCTTGTGCCCACTCTTGAATGGATTTGAGTGTTTTTCTTTTTCTTTTTTAAGACATATTGAGTACTAAGTACCATTTACTAATGAAACAAACAAAAAATGCAAAAAAGATTATTTGTTTTTAGAACTGAAGATACTCGTGTAATTTTATAAGAAAAAATAAGTTTTCCAAGGAGATATTTGAAAAAGATAATTATAAAAGAAGGGTTTTATAAAATGCTAGAACATATTATACATCTACTTTAACAGACACAGTGTTGATTAAATATGCATGTAGWTCTGTAACTATAACAGTAGAGATTTAGTTAAAAATAAAAGGAGTATTTCACATCAGTAGAATATACTCCAAACTCTTTAACAAAATGAATATCTGGTAAATAAAAATTGAAATAAACATGGAAAGTAGAAAACATTTAAAAACATGTTATTATACCTATCATTTTTGTAATAACAGTAAATGTGGTTGAAGGTAAAATGTCTAAAGTCTTTTTTGATGTCTTGCTGGTWGGGATGGATTATGTTATAAGTACCATGGTAAAATAAAAGGCAATTTCATAAAAAGTTAAACACCTGTTTGCCACATGATCCAGTAAGTCCACTCTTTGAATCCATCCAAGAGAAATCAAAACATGTTCTCATAAAGATAGGTGGGCCAATGAGAGCAGCATTAGATATAATGCCCCCAAACTAGAAAAAATCCAAATACTTGACAACTAGTAAATGGATGGTCAATGATATCATTCAACAATCAAAATACAGTTCAATAAAAAGAAACAAAATGATTATACTGAGTACAAAACTGACAAACTTCAAAAAATTAGACTAAGTAAAAGAAACCAGACACCAAATCTCCATAATATGAAATTCAATTTTGCTCCATGTCTAGAAAATATCAATTTGTAAACACAGGAAGTAGATTAGAGGGTGAGTAGGACATGGAGCARGAGTAGAAATGAACTGTAAGCAGAAATGTTGTGATTGATAGGAACTTCCTAAAGTTAGATTCTGGAGAGAGATGCACAATATATTAATGTATTAAAATCTTTC